CATGGTGTCTTCGATGCCCTCTTTGCCGCCAATTTCAAGAACTGCTGCGATTGCCCTCCACATCCCACTGGAGGAAGTACAAGACCGGCATCACCAGCTTCTTGACATCGTACACACCTCAGTACTGGCCAGAGTGGCTCTACCGATCAGTGATTCCATTTTTCAACCAGAACGGACTGTATGGCACACTCCAGCTAGCTGCAAACCCACTCCCAAGGGGCGGAAAAGAGGTACTATGTGCCTCTGAAGGGGTCTGAGTTTTTCTTCTCTCGCCCCTTAGTCAAATTCCCTTATTATTCAGGCAGCAATGGAACAGGCTCAGCAGCAACACCCATGCTCCACCCCGGCAGACAAGAAGGGCAAGCGACTGGACCTTCTGGGTTGTAAAGTCTTCTCCTCTGTCAGCACACAATTTCGCATTTCCAATTACTTGGCTCTGTTCACCAAGTACTACTTCCTTACCTACAGCAAGCTGGTGGATTTCACAAACTGCCCCTGCAGGATCTAGCTGGCTTCCAATCTATCCTACAGGAGGGGAAATTGGTTGCGAGAACAACACTCCAGGCTGCAGTGGATGTGGTGGATACTTCGTGCACAATGGCTACAGGGATCGTCATGCGTAGGGAGTCGTGGCTACGTTTGTCCAGGTTCCCAAGGGAAGTCTAGACCACCGTAGAGGATCTACCTTTCATTGAAATCTCATCTCTTCAATCAGAAGACTGAGTGACTCCCTCAAAGACTCCAGCGCCACTCTGCGATCGCTGAGTATCTACACACCAGCACCCAAACGCAAATTTTACTGCTCACCTCTGACGCAGCGATTTAGAGCTTCCCAATTCTTCCACCAGCAGCCTCATGAGTCTCCTTGCAAATGGCAGAAGACCCAATGAGCTGTCGTCCTGGTTCATCTTCACAACCTTCAGCGTCTCATGCTCAGTCTTTGCAGAAGCATTATTTCAGAGTGCAACCAGAGAGCCATCAACTAATCTGTCTCACATTGTGCCCTCGACCCACCCCCTTCGGGGGCATCTAGCACTCTTTTTTACCAGCTTGGAGTGTGATAACAGACAAGTGGGTCCTGGATGTCATTCAACATGGCTATACAATTGAGTTCACAACACTACCTCACCCACATCCTCTGCCCCAGCCCCACCTCAGGAACCATTTTCACACAGTATCCTTGCCCAGGAAGTGGACTCCCTACTGCAAAGAGGAGCAATAGAACCTACAATGTATCAGGGCGATGGTCCCTAAGAAGAAGGGTGGGTGGAGGCTGATCTTAGACCTCGATCATCTCAACCATTTCATATGCAAGCCAAAGTTTCGTATGGTCACCCTAGCAGCCAGCATGCCTTTCGAAGAAGGAGGCATGTGGTGTATGGCTCTTGATGTACGAAACGCTTTCATGTGACTATCCATCCTGCCCACAGTTGTTTCCTGAGATTCACAGATAGCCTTCATCACTTCCAGTACATCTACTGTTTGGACCCACCACTGCTCCACAGGTTTTCACCAAGGTTTTCTCAGTAGTGGCGGCCCATGCCCGGTGCTAAGGGGTCCTTACATTCCCTTTTCTTGACGATTGGCTGCTGGCAGTGAGATTAAAAAAGAGAAGCTTGAGCCTTGACCTCCATGCTGCTCACACTCCTCTCCTCCCTGGGGATGAGTGTACATGTCAATAAATCAACTTTGGATTCCACACATTTCCTAGAATTCATTGGGCCCACATCAGCGCGTTCTCAGCACGTGCCTCCCTGCCATAGGACCGGTTCCAGACCCTACAAGAGTTAATTTCCATGGTGCTCTCCAGCCTTTCTGTTCCGGCCAGGACTTGCCTTTCTGTTCTTGGCCACATGGTGGCTTGCACATATGTGACTGCCTTGGCCCATCTCTCCTTTGGCTCCCTACAACCATGGCTTCAGAGTCTGTTCCCCCACGTGCCACACCATGGACTTTCTGCTATCGGTTCCCAACAATATCTCTTCCCTCCAGTGGTGGACGGACTCAAGTCAGGTCTACACCGGGATGCTGTTCTTTCAGCCCTCTCCATGAACAGTGATCATCATGGATGCGTTGCTCGTCGGATGGGGCGCCCACCTGGATGAGCGCATTGATTCAGGGGACCTGGATTGCTCAGGAATGTCAGATTCACATCAACATCCTGGAACTTCACGAAGCATTCCTCTGATCCATCTATTCCAGTCACGTTCTCATCATGTTGGACAACACCACCACAGTTTACTACATCACCAAGCAAGGCACGAGGTCGCCTGCGCTTTGCGTGGAGGCTGTTTGTCTTTGGGATTGAAAAGCCCAACCTGAGTGCACCTGGATGGCTCAGAAATCAGAAGACAATGAAAAGGAACCCAAATTATTTTTTCCAAATCCCATGATTTTAAAGCCACTCATAGGTTTTTTTTTTAGGCCTGATTCCTGATTGTTGAACACTTGGGTTTGGCAATACTGTGTGTTATATTTTTTTAAATCCCAAACCATAAGTAAATAGTTGTAATCCATCTTGTTTCTGGTGACATTATTAAAACCTCTCCGTTTTTGCGATAAGGCTTTCACAAAAAGCCCCTAGGTAGAACTACTCAGTTTTAACTAAATGGTATTTAGAAGATCTCATTAGAAAGTTTCTTTAGAATACTTTTGAGGAAGGTTACAGTACATCATCTAATGGTATGTGTATGCTTATGTTTAAGAAAATTAATTTGCTTCAAATAACTGCACATTAAGTGAAGTTTCCATTCATGACCTGCACTTCAGTATGCACCTCCAGTTCCTACTTAAACCATTGAGAGTGATGTTCAGATAAGGAGAAGGGGACCAAATTCCGTGAAATACAGCAGAATGCAATGCATTTAACTGATTCATTATGGTAGAGAATCCTAAAACATGGGAAAATGCTCTACTGCTAAAATTTGTAGAACTGTTAATATAGCATTATAGGAACATGAATAATTTGATTTATGTTGATATTAAGATGTTAGATACAGACTAACACGGCTACCCCCTGATACTTAAGATGTTAGTTATTGTTTGTTTAGTCTGGTTTTGTGGATTAGTTTTCTATAATTTGCTTTCAGTAAACTACAATGTATTGATACTACCACTAGATGTCATATTTAATACTACAGATAGCAAACATTGAAATATAATCTTGAGGAGTATATCTGTGTTGTTCAGCTCTTGAACAGTATAATCTAGGAAAAGACAGTTTTATTCTAAAAATTATATGGATTAGTTGCATTATGTCTAGAATAGAAGGGTGCAGAACAGATACTTGCTCTACTACGCTTAAAACCTATATTGACATAGCTGTGTCAGTCAAGGTTGTGAAAAAAACACCTCCCTAGTGACAGCGATGCCAGCCAAAGCCCCCAATATAGAGACAGATGCCAGCATAAAACTTAAAAGGGGAGGTGGTGTTCCCACACTGACAGGAAAAACTCCTCTGTTGGTATAGGCTGCATCTATACTAGGGTACTGGGTTGACATAGGCTCTGCAGTGTACACATAGCCAAAGGTAAGGTGATTGAATTCCCTCAAATGGTTATGAAACCATGATGATACAGGAAGAAGTGCACTTGGGTTTTGTGTCTTCAGTTTGCAGCACTGTTTTTCTCATTTCCTCCTAAAATGTCAATGACACTTTGATGCAAGAAGCTCTAGGACAATAATGGTTACTTACAAATGTGATGGAGAGAAAAAATATATATATGTTCATTTTTGGTTGCACTAAGAAATGGGAACATTTTTCTACTAATTGTGAAAATACTCAAAACTTGGCCACTTTATAGACATTATTGAAAGTCCAACAGTTTACTAACTATCAGCGCTGTTGCTTTGATTCAAACCTTAGTGCACCTATCTAAATAGTTCAAATTGCAAATATCAAATTGGAGGAGAGTCTGGGAGTCTAATTTCCTTTTTTGGGAAGATTTTAATTGTAAATATTATCTGCAGAGTATTTTTGCAATATTGGCTTGCCTCTTTGCAAAGAGAGCTTGAAAGTATTTATCCCTTCATTGTTAAAATTTCTTAAGCAGTATCAGGAATGAGAGTCTCATCTTCCGTGATTTTGCTGGGGGTGGGTGTTGCAGGAAATATGCACTTAGGGTATGTCTGCCCAGCACAAAAAAAAAACCCTGTGGCAGCGATTTTCAGACTCCCAGTCTACAGACTCAGGCACACTCTGCAGTGCTAAAAACAGCTGTGTAGGGTTTCGGGCTCTGAAACGCATCCCCCTCCCCAGCTTCAGAGTCCAAGCTCCAGCCTGAGCCCAAATGTAGACACAGCTGTTTTTAGCACTGTAGACCAGGGTTCTAAGACTCACTGCTCCACAGGGTTTTGCCATGTAGATGTATCCTGTGAGCACTCTCCCCTTAACTGAAGGGTGGCAGCACTCATTCTTGAACAGATATCTTTTTACATATACACCTCTACCTCGATATAACGCTGTCCTCGGGAGCCAAAAAATCTTACCGCGTTATGGGTGAAACCATGTTATATTGAACTTGCTTTGATCCACCGGAGTGCGCAGCCCCGCCCCCCCAGAGTACTGCTTTACCGCGTTCTATCTGAATTCGTGTTACATCGGGTCGCGTTATATCGAGGTAGCGGTGTAGTTCTCCGTACTGTGTTCAACAGGCGTTGTTAAAAACAGTCTAACTAAAACTCCCTTTTCTTCAGCTGCTCAGCTTTCAGTGTCTTGTGATGGCATAATGTCGTCATTTTCCATAATTCTTTTAGAAAATTCTCAGCTCTCCCAATTTGTGGGTGTTTAAAAAAAGGCAAAAATTTTAATTTGGCAGACCTCTCGGGCCACCTTCATGCACAATAAAGAAGCCCAAAAGGGCACAGACCCAATTTATCTTCCTGTTGTGATTCCATTGTGGATTAGTTAGTACTTGCCTGTTGTATAGTGTGGTATACATTGTTATATAAATAAGCATCCTTGTCAATGCACTAAACCTTGTTTTACTTTTGTTTTATAGGCAAATCGTACCTGCCCAATTTGTAGAGCTGATGCTTCAGAAGTGCATCGTGATTCAGAATGACCAATCTAAGAGCACAATTCTAGTTTGGGTGTTCCTAGTCACATGTATAGACGAACTATCCATTGAACTTACCCGTGTGGCTGCCAGCCTTCCCTTTACACAAAAGGGTCAATGGACCTTTTTTTGCACTGTGTGATTTAATCAATTATAAAGCTTATAATTAGTCTTCACAATTATGGGATTGTTATACTAACCGTGTGATTGGAACTCCAAAGATTTTATTTTCTTTAGCTTAATTTTGTGTGTGCACTAACATTCCCTGGTTTTTGTGTGATCATTCCAAGTGTTGCTGCGAGATTACAGTGGACGTGATCTTTTAGCATGTGCTTTTATAAAAAGTGGTAGCTCCAAACAATATAGCAATCTACCTTATATAGAGCCTTCAGATACTGTGAGTGGGAACGAATGGTGTGGGTGGGAGTATGTATGCGCACACGAGAGTTTGTGTGGGGTGTGCTAGCGAGTGTGTGCGCCTATGTCTGAGAACCTATATACCAGCATGTACTGAGAACGTATGTGAGTAGTATTAATTATGCTGCAATGTATAATCTTGTGTGTTATTTAAACAGTACTAGTACTGTACACTGGTTTCTTTCCTTGTGTTTGCAGTTGCACACTGAATGCTAAGGGTGCAGCAATTATAGGCATTTAATATTTCCTCCCCAATGTACTTAATGGTATAAAAAGACCTTTTAACTTTTATTCAGACAACTGTTATTGCTTCCCCTTCACTGGCGGTTGTAAATGTACCACTAAAGAGTGCATTGATTGCGCAATACATGATTAATCTTGTTTTTAGCTCATGTCATAAAATCCAAATTTTACATTTGCTGATTTACTGCTAATTTATCAATAGTTGCAGTATCGCACAAAATCAGTTAGCAATATTAACATTGTCAGTTGAGCGTTTGAATGTTGATGCTTTTCCGTTTTCCTTTTTAATTCCTCTAGCCAATTTGAATTATGTTCAGTTGATTTCAGAACAGAGGTCAGTTCTGAAGATGCTGAAGTAACATATTCCTCCCCATACACAGAAGCTGAAAGGACATTCAGAGTCTTGTGCAACAGCTCCTCACATTGTTGGCCATTGTACTTGCTAAGTACATAATCATTTAGCTTATAGACTTTGGCTTTAACTCATTTATGTTCTTTTTCATGTATAAGGGAGTTTGTGTAAGTGGAAGAGAGGCTACCTTTTTAGTCCTGCAACTTTATGAACAAAATATAATTCTTAGCATTTTCTCAGAGTGGAAGAATTTCTATCTTTGTCCTTGTACCACAGTAAGTTTTTGTGGTCATTCATTGCCTGGTTCAGATGGCATAGGATGCTGCTGCTTCCCTTCCCTACTAGGTAGTGAGCTTTTGCATGAATAAAAAACTCCCTTGGTTTTTCGGTTAGTAGCCAGAATATTCACATTAAGAGAAGAGTGTGTTAGTACACAATCAGGAACAAAGAATGCTGTGAAACAGGAGTTAACCTCCATTCAGCTGCCCTGCGAATGTTAGAGCTGGATTGAAAAATTGGCTTTGTTTAACATTTCAGACTGTTAAAGGTTTTAAAATTTGTTCTTCAGTCAAATATTTAGGTCTACTACGTATGCCATAGTTATTGAAGAGATGCACTGTTTTGCATCACTGGGCTTTCTCCTCAATGTAGTGTCATTACTTTGGTTGCAATAGCACAAGTGGCACAACTAGCAATATTGCTGGAACTTGCTGCCAGTCTCAGCTTTTAAGTTTCTGTGTCATTTCTGATGCTTTTGTGTGCTGCTACGCTTTAGTATCAGTTCTCTTTCCAGACAGTGTTACATGTTCTCCATGCTGCTTGCCCTTCTTTGAAGGCTCTACAGACCAATCACAGCTTGTGGTTCAGTAAAACAAAATGAAAGCACAATTTTGCCCATGTTTCAGATGCTATTGCCTCTGTTTAGTTACACAAGTAGAACGAAAAACTTGCTTGTCTGTCCATATGTCAGTACCTAACACTAAGTCTATCAAAATTATTACAAAATATACAGTGTACAACAACGTCAAAATGTTCGTTTTCCCCTGGACGTGCTAAGGAATGGAACTGTCACAACATGTCACCAAACAAGTTAAATCACATATAGTAAACTTTATTTTTTTAACGAATGAAATCATGTGTTTAAAAAGAAGTGTATGCCACACATCTTATAATACTTAGGGTCTTTTATATAGCTGCAAAAAAATTTCTACCTGTACAGATCTAACCATAACAAACACTACTACACTCAGTATTCACTTCGTTGACGCATGGAAATAAGGCACTTTTCTAAGTTAGATAGAAATGCATAATTAACAAGGCATATTTTACTAATATTGAGGTGAAGTAGTCCTCTTTCCTGAACTGGAGAAATCTTGATATGTAATGGCCCTCTTTCCCAGTAAAGTTTCGTGACGCAGGTGGAGATCTAGGAGGCAGTAGGGTCTCATTTGGTAAAATACTGAATTTCATTGTTGCACTCTTGTGGCTGATCTCTTCTGGAATGTTTCTTTCGTTTGCATGGGACTCTTGCAGATGTGTGCAGACTTGCTTCCTGTGGTTAGTGTGTATAAAAAGCACACATGCATGTGTTCTGAACCAGCTCAGACTGGCGACAACAGACTTCATTGTTGTGGCTGCCATGTCAAAAGAGGAGGGGAAGGGGATTCATGCTCAGCCTTTACTGCCATGTGTTATGCACATTTGTGTCTAATTCCACAGCCTGCAGTGGTGCCAGGCAGCACCAGAATCCAGTAAAAGGTTTATGTTGGTTGCCTTCTTCTCCCCCCCCCCCCCCATTTCCCACCTCCCTTCTAAAAACAACAAACTGTTGGCTTTACCATGTTGGCACTGCTGTGTTTTTTGCATGAATTGTCAACTTAATTTGACTTTGTTCTGGTTTTTAATGGATACCAAGGCCTACAGATCTCTCCAAGGTCTAATTTTGTGGGGTTTCTTTACAGAGTTTTTTGTGCAAAGTAATTTTTTTTGTTGTATACAGTTTTTGTAGTCTCTTGAATGTGATTTTCTCAGCTGTTAACATTACACTTTTTGTAATACTTGGAATGGTGGGATCTACCAATGTGTTGGGTTTTTTTAAACTTACTGAAAATGCATTTTTGACTGAGTTATCTTTAGGCCTTAATAAAAGAGCTGTGTTTTTCCCCCCTTTGGTACATTCAGTTACCTCATTTTGCTATTTGTGTTTCAGATTTGCTAATGATTATGAAAGCTTATGGGTTTTGTTGGAATCATATTTTGTTGAGTGTTTTCTTTAAATCATACTCTATTGTATCAGTTAACATGTAGTTTTAAATGTATTATAAATATCTGTAACCAAATCATTTGAAGGCTTGATAAATTTTTAACAAAATTTGTACATTTTTTATGAGAGTTACTAGTAATGCTTTACTAAGTAGTGCAATGAATTTTTATTTTTAATCCCTGTGCCCAATTTTGGAGTTGAGAGAGTTGTTCAGTAATAAATGTATGATGTACACTTAGTTTTGTCCTGCCTCTTGTTCTCCTGTTGGGGTACATTGTTTACTCTTCTTAGTCTCCATATTTCTATTTTATTGTAAAAACTTTAGAGCTGTACCACTTTGCAACTGGAATTAGGTTTTTTTGCTTCTGACTAATGCTGTTCATATGTAAAACAAGAATTTATTTTCTTTCAGACAAAAAAAATCAATATTTGGTTAACGTGTCTGCTTTTAGAAATCTCAGGAAGACGAGTTCAGAGAGCTGCAGTATATCCTTTTTAAAAATATTAAAGGTATTTTCAGCAGCATTGTCCTACATTAAATGAATGTGCAAATATGTATAATTGACAGCGCTTTCTGCCTTGATTGAGATCATCTTTCTGAAGGTTTTGCTTAACAGTAAACGGTGTCATAAGGAAAATGTGGGGGGAGTGATTGAAAAATATTGGGCACTTGGGCACTCCTCTGGCATGTTTTAGGTGAATGTCAGTGTTTTACAAATTAGGTAAGCTTTGCAACACTCCTGTGAGGTAACATTATCTCCATGTTAGAGGTGAAGCTGAAGTATAGAGGGTTTGATTTGTTCAGGCTCACAGAAAAAGCTGGTGGAAGGATCAAAACAATTTCTGGATCCTAATCCTATGGTTTCGTGACAGGACCATGTATGGCGAAGCTTAAAATGCAAACTACCTTTTCAAATGGTTTTTAAGTAAGTAGCAGTTAGTCCTCCAGGTTCTAAAGACACATCTTTAAAGATGCAGTTGTCAGGCCCTAAAAGTAATTTTAATAAAGGACCTATATAAATATCTTTTGGGTTTTGCAGCACTTGTTATAACAAAAGTTCACCAATAAATGGGAATGCTGCTTTATGCAGCATGTGGAGTTGCAACAGTTAGCTACTGATTATATTTTAAAAATGGGATAATATCACCCATAGTATTTGCGCTTACACAATCGAAGAGGCTAATTATATAGAGGGTCTTAGGAAGGAAAGCCTCGCCTCAACGCATAGCAACGTACACATTTTGGGAGGTGCAGGATAGCCCAGGCTCCTTGTACTGTGTATACTAGGCCTACACTGTATTCTGCAACAGAGCTGCACTGAATTATGCAGCACTCTTCATTACAAAATAATGAACCTTCAGTTTTATGGGGAAAAAATATAAAATTCACCACAGGATGAAAATAACGACAAATCCATATTATTTGCATTGCAGTAAAGGAATATTGCTCATCACTTTTTGGTATTTCCACAGTGGGCAAAGCCTTTGAGAAAAGTGAAGAGCTAGTTCACAAGCTGCTTGTCTCTACACCCCTAAAGGTGAAGCAAACGAAATTGTTCAGGCGCTCAACTCAGGATGGTGAGAGAGAGAGAGAGAGAGCACCGTTTAGAAAACCTACCCACTCCCTGACTAAGCCTACACCAGTGCCTGAGCTGTGACCTTCCTGTCTGGTCTCCTGGGGGATATCTACACTCTTCCTGGGAGCCAAGGTAGACCGACTCAAGCCAGCACACTAAAAATAACAGTGCAGACGTTTGCAGCTTGGACTCTCAAGCCCACTCAGCACACGTGGCTCGCTGGAGCTGTAACAATTAAACTGTTACGTTTTGTGCGCTAGCTCAAGCCAGGTTGGGAGGCTTGCCCCCAGATGCAGTGTACGCGTACCCTGTTGGTTGGGTGCCCCAGCTGCTTGGGTCCCAAGACTCAGTCTCCCAATGGCTGAACACTGTGCCCCAATTAATAGGCGCCCCCACATACACACTCCAGGCTCAACAAAAGTCAGCCCTGCCCCAGTAAATCCATGTTGGGGCACCACTCCCGTTTATACACAGATTTATAAGTGAATGTCCCTAGCATACTCCTCTCCACCTGTAACCCCGTTGTTCTGCTCCTGGTTTCATCCAGGTGCAGAGGCAGTGGTGAGGTGTTCTCTCTCTCCACCCCAGCACGTTTAGTCATGTATGTTAGCCCCACCATAGCCTTCATTGATCTGCATTCCTCAGATCTGCACAGGGGTTCACCACCATTGTCTGGGTTCTCTGCATCTTCTACAATTGCCATTTCCTTTTACTGTCCAAATAAACCAACATTTCCATACACTTCTAGTGAAAACCCACTGCACAAATGGGCTTCTCCCTGCAGAAAAAGCAGCACTTAGCGGCTGTTTTTAAATGTACCTATACCATGTCCTCCTTTTTCAGTGTGATAAATGGTTTACCAATAGAACCAGTGTCTCCACCCAAAGACCCTCCTGATACTCCACAGCTCATAAGACTCAAGACAATTCTTCCATAGCATTGCCGTAACACCTAGCAGCTCTACCTGTGGACCAGGACTGCATCGTGCCAGGTACTGTACAAACAGAACAAAGATTGGCCCTGCCCCAAAGAGCTTACACTTTAAATACAAGACAAGAGACAAGAACCCCTGTCCCAGAGGAGCCCCTGTTGGATCTGCACTCCTAGCATGGCCAGAAAGGAACTCCGCTCAAACTTCCAAGCCAATGAGGCACCCATAAGGCTGCTGTGCCCTGGATTCTGAGGCTAGCTTCTCTCTGACCACGGTCAGCAAAGCAGCATCTAGTACCTGTCAGAAGGGATCAGTCCAACTCTCAGAATGCTCTCAATCTATGCAGCTTCTCAGAGCTTCTTGTCTGCTCCGGACATCTCTTCTGTCTGGCTTCCATCCCACTGCCTTCCCAAACAGGAACTTGCCTCTCTCTGGCCTTTACTCCCATTCTTTCACTGCTATCAGCTCCACTATCTTTCCTGTCTCCTCAGCCCATGATATTGGTGTCGTGTTTAACCTTTGCCTCTGTCTTGCTAAATCCTGGCACTGCTTCTACTTCAATTACCCCAAATCTTCCCTTTCCTCCTCATCCCTCTGCTAAATCCTCATCCATCTCTTACTGCAATCACTAACCACAAGAAGCCAGAGCAGTGGAGAGCACATAGGTAACCAGACAGGCCAATCCAGATGTGACGCAGTGCAAGGACTACCTGAAGTGGTACAGTCAATTCAAATGGGGATGCGCCCCCACAGACCTTACAGAACTCACTCTGAAACAGTTATGTTGCTTCCAAAGCAGATTAATTGTAGCAGGATGAGATGCAAGACAAAACAAAAGATTAGTTTGTGTGTGGATGCAACACAGTGTATGCTGAAAAAAACTAAAGCTATCCTGAAAAAACGTTCCCATATCGACAAGACCGAAGTAGCTACAGCTACAGGCACTTGGATTATATAAAACTCTTGTAACATCTCCCATCTTCTGTCTGCCATGTACTTTCTCTCCTTTCTTGAAATCCACTTCTAGTAATACTACTTTCTTTTCCGTGCTTCTTCCTCTCATGAGCTGGTCCCCAGCATCTTGTTTATCTTATCACGTTCAGGCAGGTGGTATGTTTTACCCTGCCAAGCACTTAGTAAATGTATGGAGAGAAATGAGGGGATTTTGAATAACACGAAAGCTGTACCAAGCAGCTGGAAAGAGTCTAATCTGTTACTTAGATGAGAATATCTTAATGTTCAATAGGCCATGTATGCTAGGTGCACAAGAAATCAATAGTGCTGTTGAATCCTGATAGCATGAACATGGTTACAAATTGAACAAACAAAAAAGGAATGTTGTGTACGTTGTAAACAGAATTCACCCTCTGTATGGTTCCATGGAACTTGAATGAATTTGGCCCTGTCTCTTGATTTCAGGAAAGCTTTCAGTGCATGCTTGGATGAGCGTCTAAGAGGAAAGTTAGAATGATATTGTTTGGTCAATGCAATGTGGAGTGGATACAAAATTAACTGGCTGATAAGCCACAAATTGAAAGTTTTCATAACCAGTCAAACATCAGAGTGGTGGTGGGGCTGTATAAAGGAGTGATAGAGAAGGAATGGGCCCCCTATTGTTAAATATCTTCATAAATCATCTGAAGAAAAAGTAGTAGCTCATTGAAGGAATTTGTGTCTGAAAGCCAATGACCACCGGAGGATCCACAAAAACCATACGGAATAGAAAGAAATAGCAGAAGGACCTAGGGAATTTAGAGAAACAGGCAAAGATGATGGAAAAGTGAGGCATGTGGGGGAAAGGAATACATAAGAACATAAGAATGGCCGTACTGGGTCAGACTAAAGATCCATCTAGCCCAGTATCCTGTCTACTGACAGTGGCCAATGCCAGGTGCCCCAGAGGGAGTGAACCCAACAGGCAATGATCAAGTGATCTCTCTCCTGCCACCCATCTCCACCCTCTGACAAACAGAGGCTAGGGACACCCTTCCTTGCCCATCCTGGCTAATATCCATTAACGGACTTAACCTCCATGAATGTATCCAGTTCTCTTTTAAACGCTGTTATAGTCCTAGCCTTCACAACCTCCTCAGGCAAGGAGTTCCACAAGTTGACTGTGCTCTGTGTGAAGAAGAACTTCCTTTTATTTGTTTTAAACCTGCTGCCCATTAATTTCATTTGGTGGCCCCTAGTTCTTGCATTATGGGAACAAGTAAATAACTTTTCCTTATTTACTTTCTCTACATCACTCATGATTTTATATACCTCTATCATATCCCCCCTTAGTCTTCTCTTTTCCAAGCTGAAAAGTCCTAGCCTCTTTAATCTCTCCTCATATGGGACCCTCTCCAAACCCCTAATCATTTTAGTTGCCCTTCTCTGAACCTTTTTTAATGCCAGTATATCTTTTTTGAGATGAGGAGACAACTTCTGTACGCAGTCTTCAAGATGTGGGCGTACCATGGATTTATAGAAGGGCAATAAGATACACTCCGTCTTATTTTCTATCCCCTTTTTAATGATTCCTAACATCGTCTTTGCTTTTTTTGACCGCCACTGCACATTGCGTGGACGTCTTCAGTGAACTATCCGTGATGACTCCAAGATTTTTCCTGATTCGTTGTAGCTAAATTAGCCCCCATCATATTGTATGTATAGTTGCAAGTATACCAAGTGCAAATACAACCTGGCTAGAACACAGCGAATGTACGCTGCCTTCATCATTT